TATTGGTGTATTTTATCACATGTTCGATAAAAGTGAAAATTCCGTATCTCAAAATATGATCCCTATAAATTTTGAACACAATGTAGTATTACGTAAAGTGTTTCTAAACACGGCTCTTTTAGGCCACCGTAGATTAGTGCACTGGTATACAGTTTCGCTTTTTCGAATGAAATTGTTAAAAGATAAATTCTTCTGCAACACAAATGCTATGTAATGTTCACACACAAATGTGCTTCATAACAGCATTTGTAGTATAACCGGCTAAATAAAATAATCATTTTGCATCATAGTCAGAAATAGTGCTGTTGATTTCGTTGAAAGGAAACGTACAAATTTGAATTTCATCGATACGCAAAATATTTATCTTGTCAACAGTTGCAGGATGAAGTGTCGGAGATGCTTTTTCACAATTGGATTTTTTTTAGACTTACAAAAATCGAGTAAAAAATTATCCGAATCATTACAATAACTTGTACGTTTACAAACACTCGATACGACTTAAAATATATTAATGCTTTTTATGGCACGCAAGCATTTTAGCGCAATTGACATTTACCCTTTGTTTCTTATTTGCAAAAAAATGTTTTCCGTTGTAAAACGATGCTCTAATACGAAATTAAATCCATTTTTAAATAAAAATTCTACCATGTCGCAAAAAGATAACGTTGATAATAACAAAGCATAGTTTAAAGGCTTCCAGTTATAGTTTAAAGGCTCTCAAAAACAGTTTCATGGAATGTATCTATAATTGTATGCAGGAAAATATATTTTTGATCACAGTTTCTCAAAGTAATTGAAGTCTTTCGTACTTTTGAGGATACAAGAGAAAACCATTCGTATAGTCGAATAAAAGCAGCAGTAGTCAGCGCATCTTTTGGCAATAAATTTTCCTCAACTGCCATTTTTAGTGCACTAACTGTTTTCGGAGAAAAAAAACGGATTGCGGCACTCACATTTTCATTTTGTCAAATTGAGAGGGATGAATATTTTTTTTTACGTAAATGATGTATTCGGACTTCTTTGTTATTATTTATTTCGTTATGTCACAATGATTTGATATATTGTATGTAAAGGGTGTCTCAAAATGATCTGACATTTTAAATTGCGCGCCATTTTTTTTGCAGCGAACGTAACGTACTAATCTTTAACAACTGGCATCAGGAAGTATTGAGGTTTAGTCATGGAGAATTACACGATCGAGCAACGCATAGAAATTGTGAAAATCCACTACAAATTGTGGATATTCCGTGTTATTTCGCGCCGCGGCGATGTGAATTGGCCACCAAGATCATGCGATTTGACGCCATTGGATTTCTTTCTTTGGGGTTTTCTGAAAGGAAAAGTGTATGCCAATGATCCACAGACCATTTCGGAGTTGAAGGAAGAAATCGGATATTGTGTTCCACATATAACCTCCATGTTTGTACTTTATATTAAAAACTATACTAAAACTTTATACTAAAAACATGTGTACTTTTCAAATAAATAATATGTTTTATTAATACATTAAAATGTCAGGTCATTTTGAGACACCCTTTATTATCGATTATGTTTATCGGAAGCTCTTCATGTTCCACGAATGCATCAGGGAGATACAAATTAGTTCGGTCCGTTTTTTTATGTTCAAAAATGCATTTATTTCAAAATAAAATGAATGAACAGATTAATTAAAATATTGTCCATCGCTAGCTACTTTTTGCCATCTCTTAGGCAATTTTCGAATTCCATTTCGAAAAAATGACTCGTCTTTGGAGGCGATCCAATTTTGGAGCCAATTTTCGATTTCTGCGAAAGAAGAGAACCGGTGACCAAATCGTGCTGCATCCTTCGGAACAACCAGTATTCAAAAGGAGCAATGTCCGGAGAATATGGCGGTAAAACATCCCATTTGAGTGTTTCCAAATATTTTTTTACGACTTTTGCGACATGAGGCTGAGCGTTGTCATGAAGAAAAATAACTTTATCATGTCTTTGTTCATATTTATCATGTCTTTCCGGCCGTTTTTCTCGGCTCAAATGCACGGCTCAAACGAATCAATTGTAGCCGATACCAATCGCTCGTAATGGAATCGCCAGGTGGTTTCAGCATGGTTTCAGCAGTTCATAGTAAACAACACCCTTTTGGTCCCACCAGATACAGAGCATGATCTTCGAACCATGAATGTTCGGCTTTGGTGTTGATTTTGAGGTCGATGGCAACGATTGACCGGGCTTAGCGTAGTATTTTTTCTTCTTGGAGTTGTCGTAGAATAACCACTTCTCATCTCCAGTCACAATCCGATGCAAAAAATCTTTTCTTTGTTGTCTTTGAATCAGCTGTTTGTAAGTGAAAAATCGCCTTTCAACGTCTCTCTTGGTTTCAGTTCATAAGGCACCCAATTTCCTTGTTTTTGAATTATTCCCATGGCTCTCAATCGTACAGAAATGGCTTGTTGAGTTACTCCCAATGATTCTGCAAGCTTCTCTTGCGTTTGACTCTGATCTTCTTCGAGTAATGCCTCTAATTCTTTGTCTTCGATTTTTTTTGGCTGTCCAGAGCGAGGCTTGTCTTCAACGCTGAAATCTCCATCCTTGAAATGTCGAAATCATTCCCTACATGATTTATCAGTTGGAGCAGTGTCATCATAAACTTCGACAATCATTCGATGGGCTTCAGCTGCACTTTTCTTCTAATTAAAGCAGAAAATTAGGACCTCCCGCAAATGCTGCTTGGTTAACACAAAATTCGACATTTCAAACACAGTAAAAATCAAAGTTTTTATATGAAACTCAAAGCGATATAAACTGAATATTATTAGCAGATGTCTAACCTCTCTGAAAACGCCAAAATCAGCTGTCGCTATGAATCATTCACAACAGCCGGAGCCATCTTTTGGAAAACGGACCGAACTATTCCCAATAATTGTCGTTCTGCTAATTTAAGTTTTGTTGAACTTATTTGAGCAAACTTTTTATGAAGTCTCTTTTTATTGTGGAGAAAATTAGTTCAAGATATTATCTAGTAAAATTTTTATGATTGAGTCTTGGTTTTTATGATGGAAATAAGGAATGAATAGTAAAATAACTCTGTCTATAAGGTTTATCATTGTACCTTTTTTTTGGCAAAGCGGATGCTATGAATGAAAATTTGAAAACTGGGCAGAGAATTCTTCGCCTTTCTGTATGTCATAAATTAGTTTATAGTTCTGTTTGATTAAGCAGACGTCAAACAAGTTTAATGAATTGTCTCTGAGTTCTGGTAAAATTTCAATCTCGGGTCGTAAGAATTGAATATGTCTACTAGTTCGTCAATGAGAATTTTATTCAGAGTGAGTGTAATATCATCAACGTATCTTATAAAAACGATGGAGTGACGGTTAATTTTTTTAGGAAAGTCATCTCTAAGGTCCGATTTCACAATATATGGTTACCTAAACGTTAAAGGTTACTAAGAAGTTTAGCGTTTCATGACAATTGATTAGGAATTAACCATCAATTTAACTTGGGCGTATTTTACTGGATGATGCTTGGATTAATTGAAATTTTGAAGCATTATAACTTTATATTTTTTAAGAACATACAGATTTCTGCTATTTGCTTTTTCTACTATTTGCAGTAGTAGCGAATATAAATGGATGTGCTAATTAAAAATGGATATAGATATAAATGCGTACAGCAATGATGAAGGTTTTGAAGAACCAAGACGAAGATGATTCAGACCGAGGATAAATTACTTTGAAGAATATGATCAACATGAATTTCACGCTAGATTCAAATTAAGCCCGAGACTATGGAAAGCATTTTGGAAGAAATTGGATTCCCATCCCACAGAAAAATTTAGTTGCTTATTTATATTCGTAAGCTTTGATTTGAGATAATTATTTTCATAATTTTATTTTTTAGAAATAATTGTCTTACTGCAAGTCAGCAGTTACTTGCATTAAACTTTTACGCAAATGGGTCTTTTTTTAAGAGTAGCAGATTTTGGCGGAATTAGTACATCTATAGCTAGTTGGACGGTGAAAAGAGTTTCTAAAGCTATAGCTGTTTTACGTCCAACTTACATAAAAATGCCTGAAGGTGATGACGTTACGAAATAAAACAGGCTTTCTATAATATCACCCGATTTCCAAGATGTATCGGGGCATTAGACTGTACCCACGTTAAAATACAATCACCAGGTGGCCATAATGCTGAAATATTTCGAAATAGGAAACAAATCTTTTCTCTAAATATACAAACCGTTGCTGATCCATTTCTAAAAATAAGAGATATAGTAGTACGATGGCTAGTATCTTGTCATGATAGTCATATATTCAGAAATTCTGCTTTATATGCTTCTTTAGAAATTGATCGATTTGGAGACAATGTGATAGTAGCGGATAGTGGATATCCAGTAAAATCTTATTTATTGACTCCTCTACAGCAAGTAAGACATAACGCGGAGGCGCTTTATAATGAATCCCTAGTTCGTACAAAAAATGTTGTAGAAAGAAAATATGGTCTATGGAAGAGAAGATTTCCAGCATTAGCGATGGGAATACGTCTAAAACTAGATACAATTCAAGCTATGATAGTAGTTACAGCTATTCTTGATAATATATTATAGCTTGTACAAAAAAAGAAAGGATACTACCAGTAAATCATGAACAAGAAATTGCTATTAATAATATTAATATTCCTGTGCAAAATGCAGAATGTGATATTATTGGAATTAATGCAAATAATCGAACAAGACATAACTTTATCAGACATAACTATAATTACTTTGCAACTTTATAATTATTTTTTTAATTACAATGAAATATATGTGTAATTATATTTATTTAACATATTCAAACATTTTGTGTATTAGAACATGTATGTATACTTAACATACGTTGAAACATTTATTAAAATATATATTCGTATAACACTCTAAATATATGTTGAAATTTTCTTATAATAAATGTTTGTATATTAGATTATCTTCAGAACCATTACTCTCGTGCTTCAAAAAATAAAACTACAAATGTATTCAAGGAATACACGTAGGATATTCAACATAACAAAACATATAATTTGTACTTTAATTAAAGAAAGAAAATATCACGCTCATAAACACATTTATATTTTATTGAGGATTTCAAGTTTTTTTTCCTTAATTTGCTTTTTTTGAAGAATTTCCATTTTTATATTATATTCCTCTAAAAGCATTTTTTTCTGTTTTAAAAAGTTTAGTTTTTCAGAAATTATATCATTATTTACTTCTTCAAATCGTCTTTTTAAGACACGTTGATCTGTTCCTTTTTCTTTTCTTAAAAAATAAAAATTATTTGTTTACAAATTTTTTAGGACAAATAATGATATATATTTATTCTAAATGGGATATTAAGAAATTTATAAAACTATTAAGTTATGCAGTTTCATTAGAATATTCAATAAAATTCGTTTATTAATAATAAATTTCTCCGATATAAGATCTTTTAAATTTTTACTGCAATATGTAATCCAATCATTTGCAGAAGATGATGTTTTCTTTACTTCCTAAAATTTATAATTTGAGTAACTTTAAAAGCTCTGAATTTGTGAACATGTACTCATTTCAATACATTATTAAGAAACTAAACCTTGATCATCATTCTCTCAGGAACATTATAAGTCTCTTTATCTTGATCGAGGCTATTAGGCGAAATGGAAATAGAGTTGCTGTCTAATGTTTCATCAATCACTATTAAATAAAAAGTGAATTATTAAAACAATGATACTACATGGCTGAAAAGTCCCGGGATTTTTAATGATAACAAGCGTTTTTTGGGCAAAGTTATATTTATTCCTCAACATAGTTGCCTTCGAGAGTGATACACTTGGTATAGCGATTTTCCAACATTTCGATGCCCTTTCTGTAGTATGAAACGTCCAAGCCTTCGAAATACGCCTCGGTTTCCGCGATGACTTCCTCATTCGATATGAATCTCTTTCCC